AGTGGATTGCTACGATGAATATGAGTATCCATGGGAGGGTCCGAATCTTCACGAGACAGCTCTGACTCATCATCGCTTCCGAGTTCTGGTTCCGATTCACACGTTTTCATTTTTCTTCTCCTCTCATTTGCCCTCTGTCTTCTGTTTCTACGTGCCATTCAGCTGGTAAGGCAAACGATGGAGCAAAATATGTCAATTAAAATCTGTTAAAACTTTTATCAAAAGTTTTGTCAAACAACCCACGAAATTAGTATCCCAGGAGCAACAAGTTGCTTCACAAAATCCAGGCTAATGGTTGTAGCTAGGTCTTACAAACTTCTGCAAGACTTGGAAACTTTTTACACAGAAAAATGCACAACTTATGACTAGGCTTTTTAAACGAATTCCCCTCAAAGATATGTCCTATGCACAATCATAAAATTCTATGTAAACAGTTCTTTTTATAAGCAGTCTTTCAAATAAATTCATTTTCATTTTCAAACTCAGAAGTTAACACTAATGCAATACTAAGCTATTGGGAATGCTAAACCTGTGACATAGAATGGAATCGTACACGCAATGCCAATTGAAGTAATCAGAGGCAAAAAGTAAAGCAATTCATCCAGGGACTTAGTTTACTTCTTTCTCTCATCGATAAATAAAAAAAATAATAATGGGATTTAAAAATATACAATGTCAGACATATTTTGTATCTCTCAAAAATACAAATCTGTGTGAATTAATTTTTGTTTTGTTTTGTTTGAGAACTCATAGTTAGCTATTAATTAAAAAAGTGGTCGAGTTAGAATGTAAACAAGAACGTTGGTACGTACTAGAATGGTTGATGATATATTATGATAACATTTAATAGAAATTGTACTTTCAATTAACTACTGATCATAAGAAAAATAAATAAATGAATAATATTGTAGTAGAATTACCTCAAAATCTCTCCTAATGAATAATTTTTCTTTGTATGAAGTTAAAAGTGATGGTTCAAATACAATACAGATATGAATCAACTCTTAAACATATATATAATAACATAAGTGCTTGAGGATTAGCGGTTGTTAAGAATCATATTATATTATATTAATATGTCACGCAATATTTTTAGTTGACTATATATAAATCCTCGTTTACTTGGCCAAAATTCGTAGACTATGGCTGTCTAACTAAGTATAAATTGTCCACATGCAAACTATTTTGAAATGGAAACTAGTTGTAACTAATTCGAAATTGTCTGCATTCGGACAATGAGGTTCCACTCTCTAACCTTTTTCAAGGTCATGGGGTTTTCCCATATATGTGCAAGGTCAAAATTGATTTAAGTAGCTTATATTTCACTAAATGTGTGATAAATAATAAGTAATAGTTTTAAATGCGTGACTTAAATTTAAATTTTAACTAGATAATAGAAATAAAATTGAAGTTACTAATAATATTAGACATGTACATGCATAATTCTAATTGTAGACTTGTAGGTTGCAGCCTCAATAGGTGACCCAATTATTACTACTAAGATCGGAGAGATCCGTCTATAAATGCGCGTTAATGTTTTAAAAATAATACATTCGATTCTTGATTACTAAAATATTTTAGTTTTCCCATTTATTGGTGGATTCCAATATTTATTTGGTAGATTCCAAATAGTTATCATGTCCGTTATAACGAAATTCGAGCAAACACCTGTTCGTATGCTAGGAACAAGACACGTTTATTATTATTCATATTTTTTATTTGCATCAGGTGGTATCAGAGCTGATTTTCCCGTCTCTATATCCTTAATTTAATAGCATGGGTGACGTACCAATTACAAGGGCAGATTTGGACGCACCAAATTGACGGATTGACGATCTTACTACTAAGATCTGAGAGACCCGTCAATTGTTGTTACGGGTTGTTGGTAACAATAAAAACAGGTAGAATCATCAACTTGGCAATAAGGAAATCAACTATGAATGGATCGCGGAGTCTGTAGTTCAGAGAGAAAATAACATGAGACTTGTAATAGAAGAAAGCAAATCGGATGTCGGGGATAAGGAAGAGAAAGATGAAGAATATATTGATGAAGTTTGTGGAGAATAACAATAAGATTTTGTATGTATTGTGGAGAAAATGTTATGCACACCCAAGCACGAAGATTTAACTCAACGTGAAAAGATCTTTCAAGTCAATGATGCAGTTTGCAGTCAGATCATAAACTGTTGCAATTGTGAGAATCTGATCACGAAGAAGCTTGTGCATCATTTGAAGTTGCCAAACTACATCTAGATCCTTATCAGTTTGGATGGATTAAAAAGGGTTCTTCTATGCAAGTTACTCAAATTTGTATGGTAACTTTGTCAAGTGGGATTTACCACAAATCAGAAGTTATTTGTGCTATTATTTAGTTGGATGGGTGTCATACTATGTTCGATAGATCGTGGCAAATTGATGTGGATGTCATAAATAAGGATAGAGAGATTACCTACAAGTTTAAGTGGAAAGATAAAAAGATTATGATTGCACCAATATGAATGGCACATAAAGCTTCTAAAGTGGAAGTGAAGGATTTTCTGACCATTATAAATTCAAACAGTTAGTTTTTCTCCCATGAGCTTTTGTATCTAGATGACAACTCAGGGTCGAGTTGTTTTGAAGTAGAAGGGAATAATGTGGGATAGTTAAAAGAGAAAATCATAAATAATTGGAAAAGGGGAAAAAAATCAAGAGGATCTACGAAAATATGCATAACTTTCAGCTCGAATATTGGATTTTCGTCCACGAGTACAATTCAAAATTTTTTTTCGATTCTGCACATATTTTTTCATAACGTTGTCAAACTTTTGGGGATCAAATTCCATCGTTTATAGCTCTATTTTAGCATTTTTTTTTTTTACTTTTATTAAGGTTTGTTTAATAATTTTTTAGTTTATTTGGATTTGTTTGTGGAATTAGAATTTCACTTTAATTAGGAATTGTTTTGAGTATAAATACGCGTTAATATTGTAAAAATGATACATTCGATTGTTGATTAATAAAATATTTTAGTTTTCCGTTTATTGGTGAATTTCAAATTGTTATCACGTCCGTTTGAGCAAAATTCGAATAAACATCCATTTGTGAGTTATGAACAAAACACTTTTTATTATTATTTACGTTTTCGTCCCGCATCAATAAATCATAAATTGTTGCAAACTATTTTTGAAATGGAAATTCGTTGTAACTAACCAGAATTTGTCCGCATGCACTATGATGTTGCCGCTTGATTTGGGGATTTTGCCATATGTATTTGGGGTCAACATTGATTTAAATTAAATTTAAATAATTAAACGTGTTTTTACTTGACAATTTCATTTTCTATTATGCCATTAACATTTCCCATAGATATTTTGTTAAATTTGGTGAAGAAAAATCGACTGATGTTAATTTGAAATATTGCCTATGTTTGGTAAACCTAAAAAAATTCATTTATAATTTAATTTTAAAAGTCAAACTTTAATTTTAACTATACATTTTGTATCTACACCTCATTTCTATATATCGCATTATGACTTTTTCATAACTTATAATTTTATCCATCTACTTGCACGGTAAAAATAATCACCATAATAGAATGTCTACGAAAAGTGTAATCAAGATCACATGGGTAATCAAATTAATTCATGCAAGCCAAAAAATAAATAGAAAAAGAACTAGAAAACAATAGCTATATACATGAATTATAAAAACATTAAAATGAAATCAATTAGCTGAATTATCATCACATGGTGTATCCTTAACAAGTGGATCACCATCACTTGTCAGCCTCTTTGTTCGGGTTTGATTATCAGTAACTTTTTAGGAATTTTTGTATGAGGAATATTGTTGGAGATCATGAAATGTGTAAAAATAAGTAGTAGCACTTTCGATTTTGTGATTGAAATCAAAATTTGACTTTTAATAGATAATAAAAATAAAATTTAAATTATTAATAATGTAAGATGAAAAAGGCATAATTCTAGTTGCAGACTCGTAGGTTATAGCCTCAATAGGTGATGCAAATAGTGTTTTTAATTGTTGTTAATGCCTTGACATATTTTGAGTTCCAATTCATGTGAGCAGTTTTTCTTTAATTTTTTAGCGTTCTATTTGGTAAACAAATTGTTTCTGTCATCTTCTCATCCCATCGAGACTCCAAACAACCCATCCTCGCTTTCCTCGTGTGTGTCTTCATTGCACATGCTTTAATGTTTGACTTGGTCATCTTGTTTGTGTCTATAATGGACATGTTTTAATGTTTGACTTAGTTATTACGTTTGTTTCTACATTGAACATGTTTTCATGTTTGATATAACTAATCTTCATTTCACATGTTTAGCCTAATCAAATCAATTTAAGGGTAAAATAGTGAAAATAGATCAATTTAAGGCCAAACAACCCAAGTAGTGCATCTTATTGGGTGCTTTATTTTGTAAAGAAACAAGTTTTTACATATGGGAGGGATGATATTCTTCTAAAAGTCATTTTTAATGAATAGATAAAGTCAACGTATTAGTTTGCGTATACTACAATGTATTGTGAGAGTGATAATTCATATTTTTACGCAACGAGGAGTTACAAATGAATATTTTAGCAAAATCGATTATTAAAATTTCAACTGCATCATACAAAACTATTCCTTGTATATGTACGTATTATAAAATCCTTTTTTTTTAAAACTTATTTGCGTTATTAGATTTCATTGTACTTCTAGATAGAAACATATAATTAACTAAATCTCGCAAAATTGATATTAAAATGACCTCATAGAACAGAAATTCTACCTGCACCAAATATCTAAGTTCTTTAATTACTCGTTTAATTTCTTAACACGTTTCAAATTAATATAATATATATTTGACATAAGGTTTTGTTATTTTTCACCATTTGATCATTTTCGGAATGGTCTAAAGTTTTCAAGAATATAATATCACATTGGATATAATAATGCTTAAATTATATTAAATTTTAATGATAAATATATAATGAAAAGGTTAATTCATAATTGAATAAAAGTTTGTTTGGCACAGATCTTTTCAAGAAAAATTTATTTTTGTTTATGTGATTAAAAAGTGGAAAAAAATTATGAGTCCTAAAGATTGTATAATTGAAAATGATTTTTAGAAAAAATAATTTGTAAAAACAGTTATGTAAATGATAAACACTGAATATCTATTTTACAGTAGAATCATGGTATTACTCAAAATTTAGCCCATGTTCCACATCTTTTTTAATATTATAAGTTGGTCAAACTTTATTTTTAACCTTACAAATCATAGGATCCATAATTTTTATTTACTTTTTAATCGTACAATTCATGGGATCCACCAGTTTATAATCTCAAAAACCTTTGTAAAACATGAACTTAATAAATTAAATGCATTGTTAATTAGCACAATATTCCAATTAAATTACATGTAAAATCAAGAATTCATATAGTTAAAATGGCTCAGGAGACATTAAATACGTAATCTTGAATATTGATAGAACTAAAATCACGAACGTAATTAGCAAAATCAAGCTCAACTACTAGGCTACGATATATTATAAGGACCATATATACTTGAAGAAATAGGATTGATCTTCATTTAGATGTGTTCTTCACATCAATTTCTCGAGTTTCATAGTGAACATAGTTTTATTATTATAGAATGTTAACCCTCCGGAAAATGATTTAATGAGCATCGCCCACCAATGAATTTATATAATATGTTATCGGTGCTTACCATAAGATGAGCACCGGTGTTCAATAGATCATTCTTGTTTAACCCTAATTGCTAGTAATTTAGAAAGTCAACAATTTATAAGAATTTAATATAGTGTATGAAGTTTGACCTGTCATCATATTCATATGTACATGTATTATAAAGGCCATTGCAACCAAGCTAGCGTTACAAGGATCAATTGTTATCTCAATTCTCTGCGTACAGCTCCCATGCTTTGATCAGAATATATAGAGATCAGTTATGACTATATTTTCTACATTACCATATATATGCATATAAAGATTCTGCTCACCTAATTCATATACTTTTGTACATATATAGGCGAGTTTTATGGGTAATCCTGAAGATCCCATTGCTGGGATTGAAAATATAGTACCCAGTTCTGAATATAGGCAGCCAAAAATTCGTCATGTAACCAATAGCAGTCCAATATTAGACGTCAAATCAGTAACATTGGCACTCAAATGTCCAAGTTGCAAAGAACCTTTTAATGTGCGTGCAAACTTGACAGCCGTTACAGAAACTACTGCTGCTGCTAGTGCTGCTGCTACTGCTACTGCTGCTGCTGAAATGAGATTTAACGTTGCAGGTGCAAATTTCCCAGTACATGAAAATAGAAAACTAAAATTTGACAATAAGACCCGCAATAAAGGACAACTAAAAGTTGTTGTTGCTGCTGCTGCTGATAGGAACTACACGCCACCTGAAAGTGCGGGAAAACATCGACGTGCATATGACTTTGATTCTAAAAGTGCGGGAAAACGTCGACGCGCATATGACTCTGACACTGACTCTGATTCTAAGGATGATCCCCCTAGTTCAAAGAAATCCAAGGTTGCCAATCGCCATTTGAAATTCAATAACTAGTATTTAGTAGTCAGTAGATTGATCCACATGTATCCTTCTCGTAAAAGGTGCTTCTAAACACCTTTAGCAAATAATTTACATTCACAAGGATTTTCTTGATCCTGTTACTAATTAGTTGCTGCATGTTTTCTTTGTTCTAGTTATACAGTTGGATAATAAAGAATTTATTAGTTTCGCCCTTTGATCATTACTGAATGGTCTAAAGTCGTCAAGAATTTAATTACACATTGGATAATAACACATAAATAAAATGATATTAAATTCAAATGGTAAATAAATTTTCACTATTTGAACCAAAAACTTTTGAGGTTGTTTCCTTCCAAAAATTGCAAATTAATTCATAATTGAATAAAAGCTTGTTTGACACCAGATTTTTCCGGGAAAATTTATTTTTAAGAACGTATTTTTAATAAGTAGAGAAAAACTGAAGAAAAGTTGTGGGTCTCATAGAAAAGTTCTGAGAAAAAATATTTTTTATAAAAAAAATCTTTCACAAACAAGCCTCAAGTGAGGTACACTTACCTATTATTTATTTATTCAAGGTACTCGACAAAATAGTTCTACAACTCGATAGAATCGTAATGATCAAGACCAGTATCTATTTTGCAGTAGAATCATGGTAATACTCCAAAGTTAGCTCCTATTTGACCCCCTTTTTTTTTAATTATAAGTGGGTTAAAATTTATTTTCAACAACATATTTTATTGGATCCAGATTTTTTATCCATTTTTACTCACATATTTTATGAGATCCACCAGCTTGTAATTTCCAAAAAAAAAAAAAAAATGTCAAATGGGGGCTTAATAAATTACTTGCATTGTTCAACAAGTTAGTCGACCACTCGTTTGTACTTGATGAAGTAAGTAAAGCTTGTTCGGGGTGGATTTGAGTAAATACAAGTCTTCTAATTTTTTCTAAAGTTCTTTAGTGGTTTTAAGTTTACCCACTTTTTTTCAAAATTGTGTCACTCAAGTGTGAAATGATTGAAATATAAGCAAGCTTATCGATTTCTTCTTTTTGTTATTTTGAAAAATCAGTAGAAAAGTTGCCATTCATGGCTTATGAAACCTTCTGTTGAACCAAAATACCTCTCTTTTTTGTTGCCGATTGAAAAATCACATTTTCTGTTAAAAATTCTCAAATCAAAATTGTGAGTTATCATTTTTTATGAATCAATCAAAAATGCACAGAATCACAATTAAACTACACAAAGTAGACCTAGTGTCACAAACGATATACACAATTCTAAATTTTCAAGATTTCGTAAGATTCTCGATCTTAGATCAATGGAACGTTCGAATGGGCAAGACCTAGGTATTCTAAATAGAATCAATGGTACAACAAAAGAGATATGTCAACAAAATAGTTTCACACACATTATATCATAGAGATAATAAGATGATTTTGTCAAATGAATGATTTAATCACGTAACAATTAAAGGCAAGTAGTTCTTAATTTCTAGCATAGTCGATGGTTACCCTACACGGTAATCGAAATCCTAATGTCATCCCACACGATGACTCGTTGTACTGTAAATTAAACGAGATAAGTCAATTTACCAAAGCAGACCACATCTAAAGGTCCGTAAAATTGAAAGAAGTGAATCTATTGCTTTATGGCCACCATTATTTCCCCTAAAGTTTCAGCAAATGTATCAATGCCATTGACCAAAGATTGGAAACCGAACGTCTAGGGGAAAATCGTCCAAGATTTATTGTATAACCTGAAACACAAAATTAAAGTTATCAGTACGTTCATAATTATGAAACGAAAAAATTGTTCGAAGGAAGCTTCTCCAGATTCTGCTCGACGCGGCATCGCCGGAGCACCCAAGCGCCTTCGCCACCATCTCTTTCTCGCGCCACACCCCAGTGACGCCTACACCTACATGGTGCAATTCCGACTTCCGTTCGCCAAAAACTTCCAGTTTAGCCGGAAATCAAGGTTGCAGGTTCGATCAATTTGAGAAATCGAATTTGTGTGAGTTTTTTGGTCGATTTTGGATCTAAAACTTGTACCAACGCTCTGATACCAAATGTAAAGTGGAAGAATGGAACACCTAAGGCCATCCGGGCTCAGTTTTATCAAACCAACCGAGATCGACACCAGCAGATTACAACTCAATCTCCTAACTCATGTTGCTTTTGTATTGCCCACAAATGGTACAAAAGTGGGAGATTATTGCAGCCACACAGTAGCCACAAAGGCTAAGGAAGACAAGGAGAAAAAACGCTGTAGTAGGACGCACAAAACATAGACAGAACAGTCGATTTTTTCTCACAAAAGTCTAGGGCAATAACGTGTATTTCTCAAGGCAAAGTGTCTGCCCATATATAGTAGTAAATTAGGCTTTTAGGTTAAGTAATGGATTAGACCCAAAAAATGAGACAATAGATAACCAATAAGTGTGTCAAACACTAAAATTCGTCCAATGAGTAAATGATTGGGCCATGAGCAACTCTAATTGAATTCGGCTACTTCCAATTATCAAAATAGTTATAAACTCAGGTCGTTCCATTTGAGGTGTTGGTATTTCAATTCATTCATTTGATTGATGTCAACTAAATAACTAATGATTAAACATCATAGCCAGGAAGATCGTTTGACAAAAAATTGCCCAACAGATAGGCAGGCTGCAGAGCTGGTGGGTGGGTGGCAGCACAATAGGAGTTCATGTGAGACAGCTGGCATTTGAACTTGGTCATGGAGTATATGATGTAATAGTGGTAAAAGGGAAATATATTTTTGACAAAATCCACATGGAAAAATATAGAAGTTTTAGCACACGGGTCATAGCAATTATAGGCACTTTGGGTGAGGTGATGAGTGCATTTTGTGCACTNTAATTAAATTAAATAATAGATATTGCCATACGTGCATCAATTATATATATTTAAAGTGTTTATGTCCAAAGTTGATTGGACTTAAGTATAACACTTACAACCATATATGTACATATAAAGATTCTGTTCACCTAATTCATATACTTTTGTACATATATAGGCGAGTTTTATGGGTAATCCGGAAGATCCCATTGCTGGGATTGAAAATATATTACCCAGTTCTGAATATAGGCAGCCGAAAATTCATCATGTAACCAATAGCAGTCCAATATTAGACGTCAAATCAGTAACATTGGCACTCAAATGTCCAAGTTGCAAAGAACCTTTTAATGTGCGTGCAAACTTGACAGCCGTTACAGAAACTGCTGCTGCTGAAATGAGATTTAACGCTGCAGGTGCAAATTTCCCGGAACATGAAAATAGAAAACTGAAATTTGACAATAAGACCCGCAATAAAGGACAACTAAAAGTTGTTGTTGCTGCTGCTGCTGATAGGAACTACACGCCGCCTAAAAGTGCGGGAAAACGTCGACGTGCATATGACTCTGATTCTAAAAGTGCGGGAAAACGTCGACGCGCATATGACTCTAACTCTGACTCTGACACTGATTCTAAGGATGATCCCCTCAAAGAAATCCAAGGTTGTCAATCGCCATTTGAAATTCAATAACTAGTATTTAGTAGTCAGTAGATTGATCCACATGTATCCTTCTCGTAAAAGATGCTTCTAAACACCTTTAGCAAATAATTTACATTCACAAGGATTTTCTTGATCCTGTTACGAATTAGTTGCTGCATGTTTTCTTTGCTCTAGTTATACAGTTGGATAATAAAGAATTTATTAGTTTCACCCTTTGATCATTACTGAATGGTCTAAAGTCGTCAAGAATTTAATAACACATTGGATAATAACGCATAAATAAAATGACATTAAATTCAAATGGTAAATAAATAATAAAAAGTTCTCAAGATATATATAAATCTTCACTATTTGAACCAAAAACTTTTGAGGTTGTTTCCTTCCAAAAATTGCAAATCAATTCATAATTGAATAAAAGCATGTTTGACAAATTTTTCAGGGAAAATTGATTTTTAAGAACGTATTTTTTAAAAGTAGAGAAAATCTGAAGAAAAGTTGTGGGTCTCATAGAAAAGTTATGAGAAAAAATATTTTTTTAAAAAAAATCTTTCACAAACAAGCCTCAAGTGAGGTATACTTACCTATTATTTATTTATTCAAGGTACTCGACAAAATAGTTCTAGAACTCGATAGAATTGTAATGATCAAGACCGGTATCTATTTTGCAGTAGAATCATGGTAATACCCCAAAGTTAGCTCCTATTTAACCCTTTTTTGTTTTTTCTTTTTAATTATAAGTGGGTTAAAATTTATTTTGAACAACATATTTTATTGGATCCAGATTTTTTACCCATTTTTACTCACATATTTTATGAGATCCACCA